ATATTTAAGGGTATATTATAGGAAATTCTTCGGGCAGACACAAAATGATTCCAAAGAATCATAGAGACATAGGAACAAACAGAAAATACTGAGTACACATTTAACTAAAAGAACATTGACTATACTTGAAAATAGTAATAACTTGAAGCATTTTAAATTCCTAAAGAATTAAAACATAATAAATTTTAAAAGTAAGAAATAATAAATAATATGCACAAAATTCAAGAGATGCACCATAATTTAAAAAAAAACCCAAAGAAATGTGGGAACAAAAGCATCAAACAGAAGTGTCTATCATGTCATGACCCTGCTGGGAGAAAAAGGAGACTTTCAGGCAAGGGGTACTAGCAATAAAGAGGACCATTTTATAATGACTAAGAGCTAAAGTCACTGGAAAGACACAGCAATTCTGTAATATATCATGTACACCTCATTAACGTGAGCTGCAAAATAGAAACAAAGCACTGAGAACCCAAGGGGAACACAGACATGCAGTCCTCCAGTGGGAGGGCCTAAGCACTGCCTCTTAACAGACGGGAGAAATGCGTGGAACACTACCTCATCAACAAGTTCAGCAAATCGGGCACTGGTGGCAAGTGCAGAACTATGGAGGGGCACCTGCCAAACTGACCATGTGCCGAGTCCAGACACAAGCCACTCTGAAGTTCTAATTCAAGCTGAAATCTCTGACCATAGAGGAGTCACATTAGAAATGAGTTGTATAAAAAAATATAGCAGCTCCCAAACTGTTTGGTATTTAAGCAGTACAAAGTACAGGATGCAATGACAAAGAAAGAAATCACAGGGAAACCAGAAAATGTTCCGTTGTGAGTGTGAGGATTCATCCAAGCTGCGGGTGACAGCACTAGCAGCATGTGTAGATGCCCACAGAGGCCAGAGGAGGTTATCAGATCATCCAAGAACTAGAGTTGTACAAGAGGTTGTGAATCGACTGATGTGAGTGCTGGGCACCGAAAACAGGTCTCTCCTCTGGAAAAGCAGCAAGCGCTCTTAACTACTGGGCCATCTCTCTGACTCCTTCCTTTTCCTAATGACTGACATTTGGACTGGGGTGAGATGGGCTCTCAATGTCTAAATTTGCATTTCTCTGATGAATAAGGATGTTGAGCACTTTTTTATGTGTTTATTGGTGGTTTGTATTTCATCTCTTGAGAACCGTTTGTTTTATTAGTGCATTTATCAGCAGGATTGCTTGGTTTCTTAAGGTTTAAGTTCTTTGAATGTTCTAGATATTAGTCCTCTGTCAGATGTGTAGCTAGCAAAGTTATCCCCGTGCCCTGTAGGCTGCCCTTTCCCTCTGCAACTTCCTTTGTTGCACAGAAACTTTTTAATTTTATGTAATCCCACCTGTCAATTGTTGGTTTTATTTCCTAAAGTATTATATTCCTTGTAGGAAAATCCTTGCCTTCTCCTGTGCCTTGAAGTGGTTTTCTTGAGCACGTTTAGAGTTCCTGGACTTAAATTAAAGTCTTTCATCAATTTTGAATCACTTTTTCATTTAGGATGAGAGAGATAAGGCTTCATTTCATCCTGTACATGTGGAAATCTGTTTTGTCAGCACTGTTGGTTAGAAGGGGCCTTTTCTCCCATGGCGTTTAAGAAAACTTTGTCACAAATCAGATGTCTGTAGCTATATGAGCTAAATTCAGAGCCCTCTCTTCACGTGGCTCTTCTTACCCCTGTGCCTGCTGCCTTTGTTACTAGGACTGTAATGCTACTTGAGACCAGTGTAGAAAACCTCTAGCAATTCTTGTTTTCCTTGGGATCACATTGGCTAACACGTATTGATTCATGTGGGGAGGCTAAAAGAAGAAAAGAACGAAACCTTTACTGAAGATTGATGGAATTGTTAGATTTTTGTCTAATTTAGCTAACTAAGCATTTTAAGTCTTTCTGACCTTACTTTAAATTTGTAATTAAGTAGATTCCGGTACCAGTGTCTTAATAACATCTACATTAAAATGTCGCCATCATTGATTCCAGAGTCAGAAGTCTAACACATCAGCAAGATAAGTGTAAAATGCAAACTGTGTCAGGTAAAAACTACCATGAACATACCCCTGAGTCTCTTGTGTATCAGGTGCTGAGAGTGCTCAGCCTGTTCTGAGTGGCTACTCTGCCTGGCACATGAGGTCTTACTTTCTGGCAATGCCTAGAAAAGTTTAAAGGCATTACCTGGGGGAAAAATGAGACATCAAACTGAAAAGAAAATCTGGGGGCTTTCACTATAACCTTTTATAATCTCAGAACTGTGCTTTAGATTTCAGAAGGCCATGTTATTATGGTGTACCTTCTTTTCTCTAAAGTAGTGATTCTTCCTTGCTAGATCAACACATTTACACCCTTCCCAGTATCATTAATCTGAAGGTTATGTATTTAGTTGAGCAACTTATTCATTGAAAAGATATAAAGTTTGAAGAGAGACCAGATTGATTTAATGTTGTTCTGTAAGTGTGGGGTCATTGAAGAATGGAATATGTATAAATAATCTCAAGATCTTTATCTCCTCTGACAGTTTATAATGGATACCAGGCTGCTAGTGAGGAGGCTGCATGGCAGAACAGATTTTATGCCAGGGAGAATGATTCTCATGTTAAACTAGAGACAACATTATTGATTAGAGTGGAGGTGAGAAAAGTTCTGTCTAGTCACAGAGAGATGTGTGCAGACCTACAAGATGAACGATGCTCCCCATGGTGTGGCAGACTTGTGACTGTCAGGTCATCAATCCAAACCCAGTTACTCTGTCTTTCTAGGGGAAAATCTATCATCAGATGACGTCAAGTTTCCTCCTATTTTAAACAGGTCAAAAGTATATTAGAGGTGGGGAGGGAAACGGGGTAGATTTTAAACAGACAATTTCAGGTCATCCTTCAGAAGTCTCTACAAAGTCAATTGTAAAAATTGAATTTTCTGGGCCCCTTTTCTATTTCTTTACCCCAAAGATACCCACTTAACTATTTGACTACTTCTTTGAGTGCTTAAATTCTATATTCGTATAATAATTTTTAATAATTATATACATTATTTTGAATAATGTATATAATTATTCAAAAATGTATTGCTGTGTTCTTCTTAAAAACATGCTATGTGCCAGATGATGCCATGAGCTTCCCTCTGGCTTCTCCTACTACTCACATATACCTTTTTGCTGTCTTGCAGAACATAAATTCTTGTTAAAAATAGTTTATGGCTTTATTGTGGTGTAGTAACAAACAAAATGTAACTATTATGTTCAGTGTGATATAATGAAATTGTAATTGAGCTAATTTACATATTTGACATTGGTTTCACATATTTATTGGTCATCTATATTTCTTCTTTTAAAAATAACTATTTGGATGTTTGACTTATTTTTAAATTGGTATACCTATAGTCTCTTTAAGGAGTTGATTGAGTTTCTTATGAATTTTGGCTATTAGCCTCTAGCTTCCCATCAGGTATATGGCTAGCAAATATCTTCTTCTGTGACAAAGAATTTCTTTCTCTTGACTATTTTAATTAGGTGCGATTTCATTTTCTAATTTTGATTCTGTTCTCTCTACATTGAGATTATATCAAAAGCATAACATAAATATTTTAACTATGTATTCTTCTAGTAATTTTTCAGTTCTTGATCTTAAAGTTTAAGTCTAGTCTATTTTGAATTGATTTTTACTATTTGTGTGCATGCTTTGTTTTGTTTTTGTTTTTGCTGTTGTTGTTTTGTTTTTCAAGACAAGGTTTCTCTGTGTAGTGCTGGCTGTCCTAAAACTGGCCCTATAGACCAGGTTGGCCTCCAACTCAGAGATTCACCTGCCTCTGTCTCCAAAGTGCTGGCAATAAGGGCATCGGTCAGCACCGCCCAGTTCTTACTGTTGTTAATTAGATTTGTTGTATTATTTTTAACTTGTGTAGGTGGTGTGTCTGTATTCTGGTATGTGCACAGGAATACAGGTGCCTGCAGAGCCATAGATGCTGTATTCCCTGGAGCTGGAGTTTCCATGGCTATGAGCCTCCACCTGATGTGGTGATGAAAATGAAGCTTGTTTTTGGAAGACGCTCTCAGCCACTGAGCCACATCTCCAGCCCACATGTCAGGTGTTTCTGAGGGTCCAGTCCTATCCTTCCACATGTAGACAGATAGTTTTATCTATATTGTATGTTGACGGGCAGCCTTCCTCCATGTGTGGAACCTGTGAAGAGCCAGTGCTGTCCTTGGTGGCTCCTCATATGTGAAATGTTATTTCCTGCTGGTGTTGCATTCATCCATTTGACTTCTGAGAGTTTGGTCTTAAATTATCTGAGTTAGCGGCTCTTCCTGTGTAATATGCTTTTTTTTTTTTTTTTTTTTGGATAGGAATTCTCTTTTTCCTTTCCAGATTAGGAAGTTTCCTGCCATTATTCCCGTAAATAGGCTGTTTCTCTTTCTCTTTGGACTTCCACTAAGCGTGTCTGGGTGTACACATAGCACTGTTTAAGAACTGTAGATTTTCTTCTCTTTTCTATGGTGATATTTTATTTGTACTGAAATGTGATTTTATTTGTATGTTAATAAATAAAGTTGCCTGGGGGTCAGAGCTAGTAGCAAACCATAGCAGAAACTGGGTGGTGGTGGTGCACACCTTTAATCCCAGTACTTGGTAGGCAGAGCTAGGTAGATCTCTGTGTGTTCAAGGATACAGCCAGCATGGAGACACACGCCTTTAATCTCAATACCAACCATAGAAGTCCCAGAGGTCTGAATAGATGGGCAGTGGATGAGGAGGTCATGTGGTTGGGTTTACAACCAATGAGAAGGCAGAATAGAAAGTCAATAAAAAGGACAAACACACAGGATGTAGGTCTCTTGCCGAGGAGGACAGCAGAGGCAGTGAAGGGTAAGGTTTTTAGCTCTTAGCTATTGCTATGACCTCTTGGGCTTTCATCTTTGCATTGGTTCTGTGTTTCTCATTGAATAAGACAGTTACTTCTACATTTTTCCATTCTTTTTCCCCCCTCTGACTAGGTGCTTCCAAATGACTTGACTGAACTTGAAGTCTTTCACCTCAGCTGCTGAAGCTCTCTGCGAAGTTGCCTGTTTCAGTCACTGTGTTCCTTGAGTTCTTCTATTTCTATTTGGCTCTTGGGTTTCTGGGATGCACTTTTTGTACTTCGAGTTTAGTTTTGATTCACTGTTCTGTTTGGTTTTTCAACCCTCTTCTCATGTGACTCTCAGCTTCATTAAGGTGACTATTTTGAGGTCCTTATCAGGGAGTGTGTAGATGTTCATTTCTTTAGTGTCTGTTATGGAGATTTTATCTTGTTGCTTTTCTAGCATCACAGTCTGTGACCATCTGTGGTCCTTGTGACTTCATGTTGATACTTGTACATTTGTAGACAGAACATCTCTTCTAGGACTTAAGATTGATTTACATGTGTGAAGTCCTTTACCAGTCAGTCTGCCCGAGGATTTTAGGATGGCCAGCTATCTGGTTAGATCACAAAGAGTATTTCTGCTAGTCTTTAGACAGACATGCTGCATCTTAGGTCAGTACATAGACAGACTTGGTGCCTGGGCTCCCAAGTGTCCATATTGTGTCCTGTTTTTAGGGCTAGATCTGAAACCCAAGTCAATTGGTGTAGGATTAGACCTTGAGTCTCCATGAGCAGTCCTGGTGTCCTGATCTATAATAGGGTAAAGGATGTTAGAATTTGGATCTCCAAAAGCCAGCCTGGAATCTTGGCTTACAATATCTGACCTATATCTTCAGTTAGTTTAGAAGTTTAGTATGTAGGCTCAACTTGGAAATTAAGCTAATGGAGACAGTTTGGCTTTAGGTTTGGACTAAAATATGTATTGTTAGGAGTGGGACTATAAACCATGGCAATGATGGAGCCTCATTCTCTGAAGCCTCATCTGCCCCTTGGATTTGAGCCTAAAGTTTGGAGAAGACAGCCTGGCACGAGGGCAGGATGAGAACCTGGGACCATAGGGGCTTGCCAGACCATGAGGTCACTGAGGTCTATTGTGAAGAGGATGTTCCATCCATATTCCACTTCCACATGGGGTGTCTCTCTTCTATGTTGTACTAACTGTGACTGGGCTTTGGGGTGGGATAATTCTCTCCACTCTATGAAATTGTCTCCCCAACTTCTTCACCATACTTTCCTTTATTGAGACACTCCACTCTGATGTGATAACAGCGCTCCTGGAGTTCTAAGATTTTGAGAAGGTATTTTCTGGTATGAATGGTTGTTCAAATTGATATTTGTGTGAGGGAACGAGCATATGGAATTGCAATTGTTCCATCCTGAATGTCACTTGAGTATTTTCTTTGTACACGCTGTGATATTCACTTGCATTTTGTGTTTTTTAAAAGATTAATATGTATGAAGGCATTTATGAAAATTGCTTATGATTTTATACACTCCTTTCTTCATGAACAGTGTCATTATAATCTATCTCTTGTGCCTTTAAGGAAGAGACAGCTAATTTTCCCCATCCTGTATAATTTCTGAAACACTTCAGTAATCCTAAGTTTAGTCACTTAGCAAACACTTATTAAAAATATACTGCAGAGCCAGACATAGTAGTGCATGCCTGTAATCGTAGCACCCAGGAGGCAGAGTTAGGAAGAGCATGAGTTCAAAGCCAGCCTCAGCTACCTAGCATAGCCCCTGTTTCAGAGCAGAAAAGCAAAACAAACAAACAAACAAACAAACAAACAAAACAATCTAATACATACAAAAGCATATTCAAAGAACTGTGAAGTCTATGAAGACTTTTTAAACATACCATTCACATACTCAAAAACATATGTAATAAAGGACCAAATCAAGCCATGCTTCTGAGACAGGTGGACTTAAATGCTATGCAGAAAGGTATCTAAAATGCTCTGGTTGATTAGAAGACAGAGATACTTCAGGCTAGAGGGACTCAGCAGTGTGATAAATATATCTTTTTCTAGGCTTTGAGAATTCTTAGGCACAGCATAAAGAGACTACAGTATGATAAAAAGCAGGGAACATTAAAATGGGAAGAGTTAATTTCATTCACAGCAAGTCTCACAAAATAAATAATATTATGGCTCGTAGCTACAAAGGAAGAGAAAGTGGGTCATCTAGCCAGTGTGTTGGATTGGCAAGGCGTTGTCAGTCAGGAAAGATTCTTTCCCAATGTCTTGCCTGCTTGAACCTAAAAGTTTTCAGGAGTTTTTAGAATTAAGTGGAATGTAAGCATTCCAGAACATTGTAGAAGAATTGTATCATTGTGAATGCAGAGAAAATGAGCACTCAGGAAAGTTCTGGACAACGTTTCCAGTTATTATCTTTATTTTGCTAAATTTCCCAGATAGCTCTATGTATATCTTTTCAGAGAGGACTTACATTAGTGAATTAAAGTGTGTAAATATAATAATTATTGCACTGCTTGGTTTGGAGCTAAGAGAGTTAGAATCCAGTGATCTTGAGTGCATAGGGAAAAGGAAAAGGTATCAACATTTTATATGCTACAAAGTTCCCACTGAGCTGCTTGTCAGGGTAGCTCCAGAAGGTTTCGAGAACCTCCAGAAATGAGAGCCTGCATGTTTTATGATGGCTATACTTGGCTGATACACACTTGTGCAAGAACAAATAGGAAGCAGAGGTAACACATGCTTTTGAGGAACACCTTAGAAGAGAGAAGCCATGAGAGATAACTGGAGAGACTGCCATGATGCTCCAGACTCTTCTCTCATCAGTCTCAATCTCAGAGCTTTTCTGAAGGCTGTCAAGACATTGACCCAGAGTGAGATATGGATAACAAGTCACATGGTGTTCTTAAGAGGTCCAAATGTTTCCTTACTGATTCCCTGGAACCCCCGCCTCCCAGAATCAGTCATTCTTCATAGGAGGGAGATAGATCTCACTCTCTACTACAGCATTCAAAGGTCTGGTAGAGAATACAGATCTTTCCACTGCTTCATGATCAGCAAGGATTATTTCCACTTTGCTGATATATCACATACTATGTGAGTATGTGTACATATGAGTGCATATCTGTGTATGTATGTATATAAGTATATGTGTGGGTGCATGTGTATGTTGGTGTGCATATATGTGTATATAAGTACACGTGCACATGTGTATGTTTGTGTTCATATGTGTGTATGCATGTGTATATGTGTCTACGTGTGTGTATGTATATGTGTATGTGTGATATGTTTCTTTGTAGAATGTATAGAAGACTGAGAATGTATGAATCAATCTTCGTACCTAGAAAATTGGGAGAGAAGCAGATTTTCACAAAACATTAACTGGTTACAAAGGATGTCTCATTTTGGGTTGATTTGATTAGCAATAATCTTTGAATCTAATTTCTCAGGTAATGCTTCTTTCGTCACTTTCCAGGGTAGCAAGCTGATTATCACCTCATTTACATTTTTATTAGCCCATAAAGCTTTGCTGGCGTGTATCCTTCTATCTCACGCCCAAAGCAATACTTACCATCTAATAGTAGCTAATGCAGGCTATGTCAAAGGTCTCGGTGAACGCTAGGGCTCTCTTAATTCATGTCTTACAAATCTTACATGCTTGAAGCTTTGCCTGTAAGACTGTAAAATAAGCTGATTATGAGGAATAACCTATTATCCTATCTCAGCCTCCAGATCAAAAGCCTAGACAGCAAGACACGGCCTCTACTTTTAATAAAAGAAGATGCTGCAGCATGGGACGCAAGGATTGGGAGCACAGACTCTCTGCTTTAACTCACGAGAAAACCACTTTTGAATACCACAGAAGATGTGATGTTCCTCAGTGGTTTACTGTGTAAGGCTGCATGCTTGTTCAATAAAGGTTCAGCTTCACGAACTAACCACACGACACAGTGAATGTCAGCTTTGTCATCGGGGAGTGACGGCTTAAAGCACACATGGGAATATGTACAACTAATTCTGGTTTATGGGAATTAGATCATTGATGAGATCCACTGGTGTGATATTTAAGTAATAACTTGTATGCTGGACTAGAGGTCGCTGCCCACATTGGTCTCTATCTGAATTATTATGGTCTGGAGGGCTCACATTTCATGGAAAAATTTAGATTTATTTCTTGATATGAAAAATTTCAAACTCTTCTTAAAATACCCATGAGATGTATTCTGGAATCTGCCAGGGAAAAATGCTGGGGGCCGAGCTGTGGTTACCTCAGACTTGGGTCTTGAAGCCCTACCTCTCATACTCTAAAATGGGACTTACTTAGAAATTGTATCCTAAACAAGTGATTGAGTTAAAATGTGATCACTAAGTGAGCTCTGATCTACTGACTATTGTTCTTAGGAGATGAGAAAACAGGGACAGAGATAGAAGTCACAGAGGCAAATGTGGAGGTGTGACCATAACAACAGTGAGAAAGTCCCCACCTGCAGACCAAGGAATAGATCCATGAAAAAAACAAACTTTCCTACCCCATGGTTTGGCAATTAAAGGTACTCTTCCCAATATTTGTTCAGTCAGATGTCTCTTTTTAATCTTACTGATCCTAATAAATTCTAGGGCAATATCTCATAAATTTGAATGTTTGGGAGAACCCAGGGTGGGAGGGTCAGTAAGATGAATTGGCAGATGACGACTATAGGTCTTACTTCCAGAGGGATGAACATGTTCTGAAATTAGATTGTCAAGACATCTATCCAGCTCTGTGACCTTGCTAAAGCGACATTGACTTGTGCAGTATGGTTTTGCACAACAGAGGTGTTAAATCTGTAATGCATAATCAGAAATATATCACAGTCTTACAGAGACACCAGGACACCATTGTGCCTTTATTGTGAAGATTCAGATCTGCATAAACAGAATGCTTTCCTGGCATGGGTTAAGCTTCCATCTATCATGCTCCAAGCTTGCATTTCTGTCAGGTGAGATGACCGAGCCATTCTTGGCCTGAGAAAAGGGTAGCTAGCCTCCATGAGGACTTTAACAGTTACTAATTTTATCATCTAAAATGACTTGCTGGGTTCCCCCGTGTTTTTGGTTTTCTGTTTGTTTTGCCTGATAAAAATGAAGAGAAAGTCCCGAAGGAGGCTTAAGTCTGTATATTATTTGATATAAAGTTTCTACTGAAAGGTCTTGGGTTGTGGCTCAAGAGGGACTCTGAGGCAGAATGTCTTTAGTGTAAGAAACGTATTGGTCATTTATTGGGTATTAACACAGAACTCTGTGTTAACAGAGCATAGTGGGGCCTCAGAAGAGACTTCAGCTCCGTAAGATGAAGCAGGGCTTCCTTATTATGGGTCTCAGAACGGGGAAATTTCCATAGCACTGTTTGCAGTTAGCCTGTCTCCGATTCCTGGGTGGCAGATGAGCCTGGGAGCCAGGGCCAGTAAACTTCCACTGGAGAAGTGAGCATCAGGGTGCCTGCTGCTCTTCTGGGATGAGGGCACCTATTAGAAGGCGGTAGTTGATTCTCAGACTAGGTGCCCGTGGAAGTCTTGCCATTTCTCCCACAGCTGTGGAAGAGAGAGAAAGAGGTGGCAGCAGGTGGGTGTAGCCCCATCAGCCTCCAGCTCAAACCCAACAGCTATCCCTTCAATGTGTTAATTTTTAATTGCTTTGTCTTATTATTTGTTCACAAGATACTGGAGGCAGATATAGTCCTATTACACTATCAATTCATCAGAAAAAAGGAGAACATATGAGCAAGGTGGAGAGATAGAAGAAACAAACATACATGACAACTTAAGTTTTCTTTTGTCTGTACCTCTGGGGAGAAGACTAATGCCATTGCAAGAGAAGTAATGTGGAGGGCACTGGGAGCTTTTTGGTAAACAAAACTCTCTACCAAAACCCTGAGATGATTTAATTAAGATTGCATTGAAAACCATTAACTATATTTTCTTGAAGTTCCAAAATAACTAGAAGTGCTTTGAGCCATGCTTGGGTGAGTGTTTACAAGCTTAAAAGGAGAACTGGCAGGACAGTGTAGACGAATTTCTAAATGACCTTATTAAATGAAAAACACAGAGCCAAATATAGGGGTGAAAGCCTTAGAGATCAGAGGAACAGTGATAGCTACCAACCTCACCTCTCCATTAGGGGGTCAACAATGGCCTTTAACAACAGAGAAACTCCAGGCTTTAGAAGAACTGGTATAAGAGCAGTTAAATGCTCAACATATTGAAGAATTAACCAGCTCTTGGAATTCTTCTGTATTTGTTATTAAAAAGAAATCAGGTAAATGGAGAATGGCAACAGACCTAAAAGCAATTAACAAAGTAATTCAGCCAATGGGCTCTCTACAATCTGGAATTCCTTTGCCTACTCTGCCACCATTTTTCTGGCCTCTATATCTAGTGGCTGTTCTATTCACTGGCCCCAGATAAGTTTATTAGGGTGCACAATATATTGGGGAACACAATACCACCACAGGACAGAATATCTTCAAGGTGAATGTGATGCCTTTACCTTCCCGGGGTCTCTCCAGACCTATGCCTATCTTTGAAAAATGAATCCCTCCACCCTCTACATCGTATATGGGGTCTTGGCTGCTGTCTTGTTTTCCTTTGCTGTTGGAAAGTAACCTACTGCTACTGGTGATGATTAGTCTCCTGGTAGATGCAGAAAGAACTGCAGGGAAAACAGTTTGAGAACATTCTACAGAGTTAAATGATTAGGAACAGAGCACTGTGTGTGTGTGTGTGTACATGTGTGTGTGTGTTTTTCGGTGTGTGTATCTCTGTATGTGTGTATGAGTCTCTTTATTTATCATCTATCTATCTATCTATCTATTCATCCGTCTATCTCTCTATTTATCTATCTACCTATCTATATGTATGTATATATATATATATATATGTATGTGTGTGAGTGTGTGTGTGTGTCTGTGTGTGTGTGTGCATTATATCTTATTGAGTCCTTGCCATCAGACAATAAGGACCAAGTAAATTTCTCTTTGATTCAGTCAATGATGCTTTAATTGTTGGTGTAGTGATTCCTGAACTTTATTTGTGGCTATGTGAACACATTTTCTTTGTGTTTTGTGAAGATAAGTCCTACTTAATAATAAGTAATAAGTATGAGTCACTGTGGATTACTGTCCCATTATTTATAAAACTGTGTCTTTGAATTTGGATTATGTGAATGAAAATTCCTGAAAAGAAGTTCTGTCCAGCTGTGTCCAAAACACTCCTGGGAGGAGTCTGTGTCTGCAGAGAGTGATGGAACAATTGGAATTTCAGTGCTGTGGAGAGGTTGGAATTCTGCACCTTCAGAGTGTAATTACCTTACCTTGGACTGGTGTTAGCCTTCTGGAATGCTGTTCCGTGCCCCACTCTGCACTCACATCTATTAATGATAAATAAAACCCTCTGGAAGCTATTAACTCTGCACAACACTAAGAATGACATCAGATAGTATCTTGGACTTATAGAATTGCTCCCCCAGTGTCAGTGTGCATGTGTCTCTGGTGTACTCACCAATGTATTTTAAACTTGACTTGATTTATGAATTTCTAAAAACTTCATGAAGCTGCTTCTATTTTGGAATGTGGAATTTGGGGTAGCTTAAATGTGTGTGCCCAGGCCATGGTCACTCAAAATGGCTCCAGAATAAATTGTTTCTTATTCCCCTTAAGGTGAGAGCAGTGCTTTGACAGTGACCAGGTGCACTCCTGCCTTGTTAATTTCTTCACTATCTGAATGCCCTACACAGTGATCATCATTCAACTTTCCAATCCTTAGTTTCTTCATTGTATAAGCTGAGATTAATATTAGCTATTCTCAGAGGACACCAAACAGCACATCACAGCAACAGAGAAATAGCAAACCTAAGCCATTCTCTTCTATTTTCCATGCTCAAAAGATTGTGTGATGTATGTCCATGCCCATGCCCCAAGGGAAGAGGGTTCAGTGCATGTTTATTGATTGTCTGGGCCTTGTATAAATCAATATATGTATATGAATTGATAGATGGATTAATCAGAGAAACATTTGAGCCATAGACAACCGATATTTTCCTCCCTTTTACAGCATAGTAAATTCACATCTGAGCCTCAGCTTGCAATCCGCATGTCTGAGAACCTGCAGCCTGTGCAGTCTTCCATTATTGAAGCAGACAGCTGCCTCAGTCAATGGAGATTTCACTGTAAAATTGTTTAACAGAACCCACTGTAATTACAGGGGGACAGACATTAATAGAGGGTCTGAATTTGATATGTGGAGACAAAGGGTCCTGTCAGACCCAGTATCATGCATTGTTTCACAGAGAAGGTGGGCAACAAAGGCCTTCACTACTGATGAAAGGCAGCCCCCCCTCATCCAGTGGCATCACCCCACCCACTGCCTCAAGAGTAAAATAGAGCAGTGTGTACCACCTGTGCTTGGCTCAGTAAGGACACTGTACATGTTGCCCATGTCATACCCAGATGCTTCATCCCATTGGTTTTCCTCAGTGCTGAGACAGCAGTCTCTCCCAGCTCCCTAGAACATTAGGGGCCTCTGATTTAAAGATCCTCTTTGAACTCATTCTTCCATTCTTCAGCCTAATTCAACTGTTGTTATGATTCCTACTTCCAATGCTGCACATACAACTTTAAAGGATATATAGTAAAAGGAAACTTCTCCATTAGTTAATTACCAGTTAAAAGTTATCATTTCTTATTCACAGAATGTGAGTTCTGTGGTACCTATGGGCAGCACTGAAATTTATGCACCTGGCTTTCCTGGATATCCATGCCTATGATGAGGTTTGCTTTACTTCATAAACTAAGTGCAGTGAGTAAGTAGAGAATAAGATAGAACAGTTACGGCAACATACTACAATAAAACTTAGTCTAACCTTAACAGTTATTTCTAGAATTTCTCATGTAATGTTTCCAGACTGCAGGTGACTCTGGCTAACTAAAAACTCAGGAAGGGAAATCACACTGAAGGAAAGGCCATGACGTGAATACTGCACAGCTACACTGGAAACTCATTCCAAAACCAACATGCTGGAGCAGCTGACTCCTTCTCATGTGGACCGAGAGAAGAATATATTAAAAATATTCACTGCAACTGGTAGTTCTGAAATGAATAAGCCACAAACTTTACATTTTTAAACATACTTTTAAAATTTGTATTGATGTTTGTCTATGTGTGTAAATGGCACATGTGTCCAGTTGTTCATGTCAAATGTGCATGGCCTTTGGTGGCCAGAAAAGGGCATCAAATCCCCTGGAGCTGGAGGTACAGGTGGTTGTGGGTTGCCTGATGTGGTTGCTGGGAATAGAACTCAGCTCTTTTCCATGAGGATTGCTGAGTCATCTTTCCAGCTCAAAAATTTATAATTGAATATGGTGATTTTAGGGTTGTTTTTGTTTGTAGGTAGCATTTTACATCATTATTTTTATCTGATCAATAATTTAATTAGTAAGGTATAAGAAGAGGACAAAGATGCTCTGTCTAAACCCGTCTAACAAACAGTCGGTTATTGACTATAGGAGTCATTAAGCTTTGTCCACTGTGTAAGGGAAATTGGGTAACACACCAAGAAATTAAAACTGGTAGAAACCTTCCTGAAATAATTTCAGTAAAGTTTGCCCTGATCAGGTGACATCAGTGTGATGCTCTGTCTGTGTCCGAGTTACAGCCCAAGGACACAGCCATTTGAAGACACTGTGAAGAGACCAGCTTGCTAAAGACCCCTTGCAAATACATGGTCTCTCTAAAGGGTGGACTTTCATGGGAGTGCAGCCTTCATTCCCCAGTTCCCCTACTCAGATTTTTTTAATGTTTATGGCTTTAGTTGAATTTTTTTATGGAGGAGAAGAAAATGCATTTAAGCGAATTTACTGAGATTTTTATCTCTCCTTGTAAGTAGTGCAAAGTGACTCTGTATATTTACAATATATCTGGATCCCTTGATTAATTTTGTAGTGAGTAAGGTTTTATAGTATTGAGAAAGAATAACATAAAGGAAATTCTTTTATTCTCAACAAGAGACTGTTAAATGTGAGGACCTATTGAGTGGCATTGTTAGGAGATATGGCTCAAATGTATTCCATAGATGTTTTATATGGTTTTATTTATGTCTCTGTTCACACTTGGTTGAGGGATTGTGTGTTCCTGGAAAATGTGCAGTTTAATGTGGAAGGTGATAATTTTAACTATTTAATAAGGAGGTGGAAAGCATCTTTATTACTTCAGTGAGTTTCCCAGTCTGGCATGTCTTAGCAGACTATGAAAGCAGTGGGGCCTTGAAAACAATGGCCAGGATTCAAGACAGATCTTTACCCAGGGAGTCTGTGCCTGTAAGACAATTTCTCTCAGGAGACGCGATATGATATCTAATTTAGCAGGGACAATAAAAACCACTCATGAGTATTTGTAAAGTTAACCAATATTGTCACAGTAGTCTGTTTAAAATTTAATACTTTGATAAAGTTAGGACGAGATCTGGATATGTCCTCATGACTTTCTCTGACGCTGCCTCCAGCACAGCCCCGTGGCTCCTGTGGTTCCTCCTAGCCTTTGTGTGCATTCGCTCTCCTGCTGGTGCTCCTCCACTGTCAAGGCTGCCTCTGGCCACTGGCTCGCTATCACCATCCTTCAGACCCTTAGACATACACATATGTAAATGATTCCCACTTCTCACTTTATCATCTGTAGTCCTTACTGGTGATTCAAATTGTGCAACATTTTCTTCTCTTCATTGTCTGACTTCTTGTTTACGGCTCTGCAGCACAGAATGGAGACCTGGGTCCTGGGTCTGCTGTCAGTGCTGCCAACCAGCACTCAGACAGTCCGGGGTACAATTCGTGTTAATGAGTGTTTCTTTTCTTCCTTTCTTTCTTCCTTCCTTTCTTCCTTCCTTCCTTCCTTCCTTCCTTCCTTCCTTCCTTCCTTCCTTCCTTCCTTCCTTCCTTC